AAGACGTGGCAATTGTCCCAGTTTGTGCGATGACTGCCGACCGCAGGGTCTGTCAGCGCACTCCCCAGATGTTGACATTTGTTATTGCGTAGAGATAACGCCTACCAGAATCCACACACACATACGGTCGACATGACCACCAAGGGTAGCTTTCCGGTTATGTAACAGGGTACAGGTTTGTTAAACACCACATCAGACAAGCATACAGGGATATAGTAAGAAAAAAGGTTCCTAAATTATGAAATCTATGTCACGATAACAAATTACCAGAGCAGAAAAAGCGCAAAATAACGAATACAAGAAAATAGAGAGGTACTGTACTGATGAAATGCTTGGAGTGGGAGGTGGTCACGTCATATCACTTAGACGCCAGTGGGTCTTACAGTGCTGTCGACAACAGCGGGTAAGGGTTGGGGAGTGAGTTGAAAATGGGCAAGACGAGTAACGGACGGTCGGGGAGGACGAGGGAAGCAGTATCAGTAATAGGGAGGGGAGGAACACCGACCACCTTCGTTTGCAGATGATCATACGATACCCATCCGGGATCCGCGCCAAATGTGACATCAGCTAGTTCAACCAACCCCGTCAAACTTATAGTGCGTTACATGTGCAAAAGCGCAGTTCTGCGAGAAGTGTGAGGTACGGAGATGTGTCCTGTGTTGTGTGCGCACATATCTAAATCAGAGGAAGACAACTTGAAAACGACCTTACTGACCTATGGATGCTCATGCAGCAAAACCCTGAAGACCAGAAGGTTGTCAGTGCTAGATTCCATAAAACTAAGAACAAGACTCAAAAAGCTCGAAAATATCGTATCGGGAGCATCTCCAAGCACGTAAAGTAACTTAGTAGATACAGACGCGGATGCCGGTGACGGCAGGACAACGATGACGAAACTGCCGATAAGGGCAGACTCTATTTCCCCGCATGACGACCAAGCGATGTCACGAAAAAAACGGTCTGTTGCAGGAGCCATTTTGCCTAATTTTCTTGCTGAAGGCGACGGGATTTCTTTTATTCCAAAGGACGACATAATTAGATCACCCAGTTTACCGCTGCCAACTTGTTCTCGCAGCCATCCCCATTGCTCCATAGAGCAGACATTTGAATGTGAAGACAGCAAGTCATGCAGAGAGGGGATGGGAATACGCCATAACAGGAGTCTGAAGTCACAACCAGTATTGATGGGTTGCTCGAGACGGTCAGTTGACAGAAGAAGTGTGCGTCCAAGCGAGTATTCCGGAAATCGTTCTTAGCCCCATACAGAGAATTCCCCGGAAAGGCAAAATAAAGAGTATCTAGACCGCTAATAGTGTCTGGTTGTTCAGGGCTTGTCTGAATCGAATGCAGTCAGACCTGGAGACCGTGTCTCGGACAATATTGTTTCTTTTCATGGTCTACTAAACCAATGACTTCAGGCAGACAGGGAAAAAGGTCTTGAAAGCATTCCGGATAGGAAAATAGAGTGAAGACACGATAGCAGCACTACCACCTCGTCTTCTCAAAAGTATGCTGGACAAGAAAGGGCAAATGAAGTTGATCCTCCCCAAAAAAGCAAACTTTACAAATACACATACGCAGGTCTTTTTCAACCGAACTAACCTCCAGCGGAACGGCTGAAACGCCGCAAAATTGTCTCGGTATTAAAATCGGGACCGAAGGGTGACGAACACAACCTGGCTGTCTTCAAGGGAAAGAAGTGCGAAAAAAGTGTGCTGTTTCGGGACACCGGTCAGTAATAGTTAGAACAACGGCAGCTACTCAGCTAACACAGACACCATCGTGGAAGCAGCCGCTCGAGATGACAACATAAGTAAGCCCTTAAGGGTCAGTGTTCTGACCGAAGCAACGACATTAATGAAACTCATCAAACAACGGAAGAGTCCAGTGAAAATGGCATCTGAGATAATGCAGTAATGAAGTCAGAAATTAAGCTGGCGAAACTGAGCTGCCCGTATCCAGAAATCCAAAGCCTCATATGGAGACTTGACGAACTAAGACTTTACCGCGCAGAAATATCTCCGAATGTTTTGGCAGAAACGGAAACCTGGCTGTTGGGGAATATAAGCGATAGCGAAATAACCTTGTCTGGATACGAAGTTTATTGGAAGGACGGGTAATATCTTTATGGTGATTACATGGCCGGTCATGTGAAAGAAGGCCTGACGGTGCCGGAAAAATACCACGGAGTTTGCGTGCAACATGCAGGCTATTTGGTTGACCATCACGGCTCCGGGTTTTCCGTGCCTCGATGTCCTCACCGTCTACCGACCACCTATGAAAGAACAAATTACTGACACTCATTTTCAGGGCATTTGGAAAAATTTTCTATTCGACATAACATCATGATAATCGGCGACTTCAACGCGCCAGGAATTAACAGGAACGCCGTTCATGCATCAGGTCCAAAATCGACATTCGGCTACCGTTTTCGAAACAAAACACTAAAGGCGCTTTTCGCACAACATATAATGTTTCCAACGAGGACACGTGAGCGACATGGAACAAACTGTCTGGATCTGATTTTTACAAAAACATCAGACAGCATAGACAAGGTCATCTCCATGTCGCTCCTCGGCCGAAGTGACCATGTAGTGCTTATGTGGGATTATTGTCCGTTTTGCATACTCCAGACCAAAAAGGTGGAACATTTGGAGGGGAGACTTCAAACAGATGAGGGCAGACTTATCCCGTAATGACTGGAGCTCAACGATTATGGACAATGCCAACAATGACCGGGAGTCGTTCAAGAATGCCCCTTTACAGTACACTAACAACCACTGCCCACTGACGAGTGTAAGACAGAACAAACGGTCTGAGTGGCCAAATAGCAGCCTAAAGAAAGGAATTAACAGGAAGCACACATTGTGGAGAAACTATTGTGTCACTAGACATATTGAGTATTTCAACAGCTACAAGACACAGAGGAAGAAACTGAGATGCATATTTATAAAAACACGCGAGAATTCGAAAAGAATTTGCCACTAAAAGCAACACAGAACTCAAAATTATTCCACATATGCCTCCGAAAAATTACGAGGAGTGACACCAAATCCTCTCAATAAATACTACCAATGACGTTGAAATTGCTGATAGCAAATATAAAGGTGCGCATTTTCACGGTTTTTCCAATCGGTCTATAGAACCGAGGTAAGGTACCTTCCTCCTTCCATAGTAGAAATGACGACTTCCAGCCTAAGCAATATACTCTTCTCAGAAGTTATTGTACTGCAACAGCAGTGAAAAACATTGTTTCCATAACAGTGGGCTAACGAAAGCAAAAACATATAGCTCCGGAATTTAAGTCGCACAAGACTCTTCCTGCCATCACTCTGAATCTTTACCCTGGGTAAGTAATATGGCACGCAGTTAAACTTATTTACTATAGCATCGAATGGGACAGTTCATTCACAAAACCACTCTTTCCACCTTAAAAACACTGACTCGTGTTCCGATTGTAAATAATATTTTCATTACCAAACCTTATTTTATTCTTGAAACAAAAAACTGCAAACTGATCAGATGAGAATAGTTACGACTGCTCTGGTCAACATTTGTAAACTGCCTAAACCATTTATTGGGAATCTTGGAAAAATCACAAAGGTGATGTAAAAATGGCAAAACTTTCATTGCAGTAACAGCCTATTTCATGGATTTGAAGTATGCCGTGACTTCGCTTGCCGTAGGTGATCGTCATAGACATTTATTGCGTCTACGTAAAAAAAGTAAAGTCATGTGACAAAATTACGTTTTAATTAATCGGTTATGAAATCAGCAGTAGATGGCGGACAAATTTTAAAACAACGCAAAATTAGTGCTAAATATATTCGGCTCTGTAATATGATTCGTCCACACAGTTTCGCCGATTGTTATAAATCGGAATGAAAACTGTTTGGTGGTTTGACGAAGAAAACCTTGGCAATAGTATTATCCAGTCCATGAACAGCATAAAAGTTATATTATTTACTAAAGGAAGTACACTCTTGTCCTTGACAATCAACTTATCCTTAAGAAAAAGCGATTTGGAGTGCAAACGAAGTATTTGCTAGCTGTACTTAAGGCAATTTTATGCATTTGCAGGTGATCTGGTGGTACATTGCCCACCTGTTGTCGATTACGCTATAACTCCCGATAAACATTGAATAGCTAACTGAGCATCAACGAAGCAAGAAGGACCACAGAGAAACAATTTTTGGTCTGGCGTTTCAAATCTACATCCCGAACCACCATCGGAAAAAACACCAGATACAGACAGCGGACCAACTTAAATCGAGGAAGGTAGATAATTTTTTTAGTTCGCAAGAACAAACATAGTAAAACTGGCGGTCTCCGTGGCTACTGAGGATGCTCGTACGTCGTGTATACACGAAGTGTTAGTGTTCAACTGTACACTGCCTGCGTGTATAATGTCACAACCTGTACAAACGACTCGGCACTAAAAGTGGTGACGGAATCGTTATGTTTTTTAATGCTGCACACATAATAAAATATGGTTTCCAACAGCTTATGAATTGCGCAGATGTCAGTGTTTAGGTAGATTGCAGTTAGATTAACCCTGAAATTATATTCGTCCTCCGCCGATCAAACGTCTGGTTGCGGTTTAATGTTGATTCTCCATACTGTTGATGCAGGTTTGGTAGCCTGCGCTCGAAGCATGCTTTTTTTCCTCAGAACTAATTGCCTCGTCCGCAAACGAAGCAGACCGGAAAACCGACTTCAGGCATTTATTGCAGTGGTAAGGAGACTCCAGTTCGGATTAGATGGTTGTCCCCAGTCCTTTGAAGCCCCAGCTGTGATTTATCTAAGGCGGTTGGCAGCTTCTGATACGTTCCTGACTTACGAGGAAGTTTGACAATTAATCAACTCCGATATCGTTCGGTCAGTTGAACGCTTAAGACGTTGTCCGTGTGTTAACCAATCAAAGGCGTCTAATTTCTTGCTCTGGGTGACCTTCGCCCAGAGAGTCGAACGTTATTCTGTGAATTCATTTTTGGCTGGTCATGGATTCTTCGCAGCATATTGGGGCTGAATCCTCATTCCAGGACCCAGATGAGTAATTAAAAACTTTGTTCCCAAGAAACCTTTTTAGTCAATTGATTTCGCAGGCTATTCTGGAGGCGCGATACACAGGTTCCGAACACAAAACACTTAGGAAAGAAAATGAAGTAGGACGCTCTACTAAAAACTTAAAGTTTCTAGGCCATTGCGTCCCTACGTAGGGAGAATTTTCGACTTCGGCTTTTATGTTACAATTACGAGCAAACATATCAGAAGATCCGAGGGGATCCACAGAGTCTTGCATCAGTATGTTTTTCCTGTTTTTTTTTTACCTTGCCTAGAGAATATTTGAGCTTGAAACTGAAAACGCCCAGGTACGCGAGGACATTCGTGAAAGGGCCGGCCTTTTAAACTCGGCTTCGTATGTTTACTTATTATGTATAATCGTTTTAGTAAGTTGATCTCCTCTCTCAAAAGTGAAAGTGAACGACTGCGATCGGACAACGCCTCTCTTTTGTCAAAGTTGGAGAATGTAGAAAAGGGTAGGTTCTGCAAGTGTTCTTATCGTCTAAAGACTGGAGATTGAAGTATGATTCAATTGTGGATGAGCTTGAGGAATGCAAAGCTGCACGGCGACAAACTGAAAACAGGCTTGCCATATACGAGAATGAAGTTGTTCAACGCGAAAACTGTCACAAAGCGTAAGTCTTGTCCTCGGTTCTGGTCCATTTTAAACTCACCCCACTTCTGGCTTCCATCGCTCGAACTTTCGACTATTGATTGATTCCGTTTTACAAACCTATCCGTAGAGATGAAAACTCCCGTAAAAGTTCTTTTTGATATTTCCCCTAAGAACCTTGATTAGGAAAATTTTCCCGTTCCTCTACGACTTTCTGTTGTGCATGTGACTAAAGGCATAGTCGAGTACTGCTGTGGATAACAAAAAGCAGTCAA